AAAGTACCAGTCCAAAAAGTAAAGCTACACTGCGGAACTTTTCTGCCGGAGGATGGATCAAGTTGTTCTGCTTTTCTTCATGGAGATGTTATAATCATCTACACATGAACCAGGACTGAACCAGGACCAAACCAGGTCTAAACCAGGACTGAACCAGGACTAAACTAGGACTGAACCAGGACTAAACTAGGACTAAACTTGGACTGAACCAGGTCTAAACCAAGACTAAACTTGGACTGAACCAGGACTAAACCAGGACTGAAACCAGGTCTAAACCAGGACTAAACCAGGTCTAAACCAGGTCTAAACCAGGACTAAACCAGGTCTAAACCAGGTCGAAACCAGGTCGAAACCAGGTCGAAACCAGGTCTAAACCAGGACTGAAACCAGGTCTAAACCAGGACTAAACCAGGTCTAAACCAGGTCTAAACCAGGACTTGAAACCAGGTCTAAACCAGGTCTAAACCAGGTCTAAACCAGGTCTGAAACCAGGTCTAAACCAGGTCTAAACCAGGTCTAAACCAGGTCTAAACCAGGTCTAAACCAGGTCTAAACCAAGACTAAACTTGGACTGAACCAGGTCTAAACCAGGACTGAAACCAGGTCTAAACCAGGTCTAAACCAGGTCTAAACCAGGTCTAAACCAGGTCTAAACCAGGTCTAAACCAGGTCAAAACCAGGACTGAAACCAGGTCTAAACCAGGTCTAAACCAGGTCTAAACCAGGTCTAAACCAGGTCTAAACCAGGTCTAAAACAGGACTGAACCAGGTCTAAACCAGGACTAAAACAGGACTGAACCAGGACTAATCTCGGACTTGAGAGAAAGGGAGAGAGAACCTTGAGCCCGTGGAGTAAGGTGTCCGCAAAGTGCCGGTCCTGTGGTCACCCGACGGTCCATGTGGGCACATCTCCAGGCCCGTCCCGACGCTCAGTCCTGGTTCAGTCCTGGTTCAGTCCTGGTTCAGTCCTGGTTTAGACCTGGTTTAGACCTGGTTTCAGTCCTGGTTTAGACCTGGTTCAGTCCAAGTTTAGTCTTGGTTTAGACCTGGTTAAGATCTGGTTTTAAAGCTCAAAAATACGTATAAAAACAAACATTCTGACTGTGAGGGGGGTCGCGTCTCCACAGATCCGACCTGTAACTTCTGTCTGGTCTGGTCTCCATGTAGATAAAGTTTTAAAGCCACACTGTGAAACATTCCAGACAAAGCAACAACATCTCCATGGAGAAAAGCGTCTGATGGACTCGGACGTGTTTAACAGCACAGATCATCTCACCTGTTGTAGTTCAGTTAAATCGGTTCTTTGTGGTCAGATTGTGTTGGAACAAAACTCAGATTAAAGTTGAACAAAGCCTCAGACAGGGCAGTGCCTGCAGTTAGCATCACACCCCCAGAGCATGTGGAGGATCATCGTCAGTATCAATAGAGTTTTAAGTGGTTACATAACTGAGCTGAAGTCACACAAAATCACACCCTGACATTTAAATTAAAGTTTGGGTGTCACCGTTTTTATGTCATTTAGTTTTTATTTGTGATGTAACTTTTGATTGTGATTTGGATTTGAATCTTTTGGTTCCGTTCCACCCACTGTTTAAAGAAAAGGACTAAAGGTGTGTTCAGACCGCGGCGTCAGGAGCAGCGTCCGGTTTACGTGCAGTGCCTATGTAGAAACGTGTCTAAGGCGTCGTATGTTTTGTGGTGCATCTTTTGGCATCAGCGCAGTGAGAATCTGGTATTGTCATGAATCCGTGTGTCATTCGTTCATTCGTTTTTCAATATAAAACCAAAAATAAGAAAACGAAAAAACAACAGTTTTCTTCGTTATTTGTCTCCAAAACCAAAATGAAAAAACGGATAACGATTCGTTTTTTCAGTTTTCGATTTTGTGTTTAAATGAAGAATGGAAAAAACGGATAACGGCCGTTTCCCGTTTACGTGACTTCAGTGACTGTGATGCCGGACTTTTGCACCGCATACGGACTGAACCAGGACTGATCCAGGTCCGAGACCAGAGCGGGACCAGACCGAGACCAGAGCGGGACTGAGACCGGGACCAGACCGGGACTGAGACCGGACCAGACCGGGACCAGACCGGGACCAGAGCGGGACTGAGTCTCAGTAGCGCTCTGGTCCCGGTCTGGTCCCAGACCTGGTCCATCTGAACCAAAAGCTCTTAGTTCGGTTCGTTTTCGTTGGGGTGAAAGCGTCAGTCGGAGGCTTTGCACCACCTCGGAACCAGCTGCGGTTCTTGAGCGCGGAGGACCAGAGCAGCTCGGTCTGGTCTCGGACCTGGATCCGTCCTGATTCAGTCCGTATGCGGTGAGACTGGGACCAGACCGGGACCAGAGCCCACGGCAGGACCGGAGCTCGAAGCTGAGGCTTGGACCCCGTGGAGGCTTGGAGTCAAAGCTTGGAGTCCGGTTTGGTCCCGCTCTGGTCCCGGTCTCAGTCCCGCTCTGGTCTTGGTCTGGTCTCGGACCTGGATCAGTCCTGGTTCAGTCCGTATGCGGTGCAAAAGTTCGGCATCACAGTCACGGAAGTCACGTAAACGGGAAACGGCCGTTATCCGTTTTTTCCATTCTTCATTTAAACACAAAAAAACTGAAAAAAACGAATCGTTATCAGTTTTTTCATTTTGGTTTTGGAGACAAATAACGAAGAAAACTGTTGTTTTTTAACTTTCTGACTGTGTCTCTAGCTGAAAAAACAGAACTTTTGGTGTCGGCTCCGCGTCAACCAATCAGGGACGACAATCCATTGACGTAGAGACTTTATTACCCAGAAGAAGAAAGAGAAAGACCCGTGAACTGGGGCAGGAAACATTAACATTAGCGGAGTACGGATTTCTCCTGGCGTCTCCTTCAGGAGGTGTTCCGGGCATGTCCCACCAGAAGGAGGCTCCAGGGAAGACTCAGGACACAGTTGTGGGACTATGTCTCTGGGCTGGACTGGGAACACCTCGGGGTCCCCCTGGAGGAGCTGGAGGAAGTGTCTGGGGTGGAGGAAGTCTGGGAGTCCCTGCTTAGACTGATGCCCCCGCGACCCGACCCCTGGATAAGAGGAAGAAAATGGATGGATGGAAAATATATACACGCCGCAGCTGCCGAGCCGATCGCGAAGACTAGACCAGGACTGGACCAGGACTGGACCAGGACTGGACCGGGACTGGACCGGGACTGGACCGGGACTGGACCGGGACTGGACCGGGACTGGACCAGGACTGGACCAGGACTGGACCAGGACCACTGATGTGTTTTATGTGATTAAAAACACTAAAGTCTCTCTGACTGCTCGGCCATCGTTCCGGGAAAAGACCAGGTTGGGGCACTTGTTTCCAGGGCAACGGATGTTCTGGACATGTCTTTTTTTCCTATTCGTCCACTAAGTCCAAGATGCACGTCCGGGGCGTCTAAACTCAAATGTAAAGGCTCCAACTAGAAGCATCCAGTGTGTTTTTTGACACTCCGGTCTGAACGGACCTTTAGGGAAAATAACGTCACAAACATCATTCAGCTCCAGTCAAATGAAGCTCATCGAGGCAAACTTTAAACTCGATACTCAATAGAGATTCTGACACCACAATGACAATGAAAAACCCTCTTTCTTTAGACGACATAATGTGAATTTCCACATTAAATTGTTTTACTTTCTTTTCTGTTCTCATGTATCTGTGTGATCCCTCAGTGGTCCAGGTCTAAACCAGGTCTAAACCAGGTCTAAACCAGGTCTAAACCAGGTCTAAACCAGGTCTAAACCAGGTCTAAACCAGGTCTTAATTAGGTCTAAGCCAGGTCTAAGCCAGGTCTAAACCAGGTCTAAACCAGGTCTTAATTCCAGTAGATCTAAACTAGGTCTAAACTAGGTCTAAACCAGGTCTATACCAGGTCCAAACCAGGACTAAACCAGGTCTTAATTCCAGTAGATCTAAACTAGGTCTAAACCAGGTCTAAACCAGGTCTTAATTAGGTCTAAGCCAGGTCTAAACCAGGTCTAAAACCAGGTCTAAACCAGGTCTTAATTCCAGTAGATCTAAACTAGGTCTAAACTAGGTCTAAACCAGGTCTATACCAGGTCCAAACCAGGACTAAACCAGGTCTTAATTCCAGTAGATCTAAACCAGGTCTAAACCAGGTCTAAACCAGGTCTAAACCAGGTCTAAACCAGGTCTAAACCAGGTCCAAACCAGGTCCAAACCAGGTCCAAACCAGGACTAAACCAGGTCTTAATTCCAGTAGATCTAAACTAGGTCTAAACCAGGTCTAAACCAGGTCTAAACCAGGTCTAAACCAGGTCCAAACCAGGTCTAAACCAGGTCTAAACCAGGTCTAAACCAGGTCTAAACCAGGTCCAAACCAGGTCTTAATTCCAGTAGATCTAAACCAGGTCTAAACCAGGCCTAAACCAGATCCATGGTCATATACTAGTCTCTGTGTTCTTATACTTGTTCTGATGCAGCTCCAGAAAATTCTAAACACATCAGGAAAGATTCTGCTCTGTCCTGTCATTGAAACTTCTTTTTTAGCATCAGTACCTGAGAGAAATGATTATGCATTTTCAATAATAGCCTTTATAATCGATTATTGTTAGTGTTTTAATACGTTGGTGGTAGAGCCGGTCGTGTCTCCAGTCTCCTGCTGTGTGTGTAAAACCCAAACTCCCAGACTGACTCTTTAAGTCTTTATAATGATTTAATGTGCCTCTTCCTCCTGAATAATTATCTCAAACTGTTACTAAACTCGGACTAATTGGACCATTACCGTGTCGCACTTTATTTAACTTTATGTGTCTGTAAAATAAAACCTTCAATGTGCGAAAAAAAGACGCATTAGTTTTATTTTTGTACTTTCTGCAGAGTCATTGTGCTATTTTTAGACTCCAAACTGGACGAAAGTACTTATCAGCCTTAACGGTGCAGTATTGATGCAGCAAATTCTGTTCTCGTGTAAATAGAATCAGTTTTCTTACGTTGACGTTAATATATTTTTTTGTTTACGTTCCAGTGATCCGCGCGAAGGTGGTGGGAGAGAAAGAGGTGGATTCTGGGAACGACATTTACGGAAATCCGATCAAGAGGATCCAGTACGAAGTGAAACAGATCAAGGTGAGCTGGGTTTTATATGAACATGTTTGCACTTCTCAAAAAAAAACTAAAGCAATACAACAAACGTCAGAACTCGATATGAAAAAAAAGATGTTGGATATGTGTGTAAATCTGGAAGGGGTAATGTTTTAGGACCAGAAGGACGCTCCTCTTTTAATGCCGCTGTTGTTCATATCTATTAAAGGTTGTATGGAGGATTTTTTTTGTTTCAAATTGTCAGTGATAGATTATAGATGCAGTAGCCTTGTAATTATGATGACCAAAAAAAAGAGAATAAAAATTCATCAACTCTGGACGTGGTGGGGCTAAACATTTGCCAATAGATAACGACACTGCCTCGTTATCTGTGAGCTGACAGGCTGTCAATCAAACTCCCTACGTTTCTAGTGTAACTGACTTGCCTGCGCCGCCGGTACGTGGTTTACGTACGACTGTCACACAGTCCACAGACGCAAGACGCTGTTTTACTCCACCAACACAACAGTTCTTAGCGGCGTTTTTTGACCTATATCTTCCTCGCAGTTCGCAAAAAGTTTGTTGCGAATGGCGACAAGAATCCAGGAGCAGTTCGCCGCAAAAGAAAGTCTGTTTTTGAGGTCGCTGAAAGAAGAAGACAAGGGGAAAAGCAGCGAAGCCAAACTAAGGTGATTCTTGAAGATTCATTCCAGCGATGGCGCGACTGAAGCAGACGAAGGGTCTAAAGACTGAACCACTGGTCCACAAATTACTCCTGGACAGGAAACTTCTGCTTATTATGAAAACGTACTTTATTTCCGAGAGCGAGACAAACGTTTTTCAGGACACGAAAGCGATATCCTATGTCTGAAAACGTAATTTTCAAGGCAAAGAAAGAGTCCGCTTGCTGCTGCGTGTTGTAGCTAGTTCATTCGCACTGAATCTCTGCACACTCTTCTCTGCTCCCCTTTCCTGCTCCTGTCCCCGCTGCCCGATCCGCTCTTCCCCCTGCTCCTCACTTCGCCGGGCACGGAATCTCCGCGCACCGCTCCCCTCTCCTCTCTCCTCTCTCCTCTCCTCGCTCCTCTCCCTGCTCCTCACTTCTCGTCCGCGAACGAAATGTCCGCGCACCCCCTCCCCCCGCTCCTCACTTCTCCGTCTTGTCTAACCAACACTGTAGTTAGTTGTTTACAAGTCATGTGCAGCACCGGCTGTAAACAAACCTGTTTCTGGCGTAAGGAGGAGGAGGGAGGAGGCGTTTCTACGTAGGAGCTGTAGGGGAGGGGAGGTGGTTTCACACATGCGCAACATTTGAAAAAGGACAAACAGTCGCTGGATTTCTCGTTCCTTGGAAAATCCTCTATACAACCTTTAAAGCGGCACCGATAGACTTATCAAGAATTTCGGACTTCCGGTCATCGCGTAATTCATACTGGGAACGATTTTCAGAAAAAGTGAGCATCAAACCTCCATCTTTGTCAAGAGACACATCCCACTGGGAAAACAAAGTCGATCTTTTCAAGTCTTTTGAACCATATCACTTTTGTTTCTGGTTCTGATATTGTCATATTTTAGTTTTGGGATTCGGACATCGTTAATTGTGTGGGTGTTGGATCCAAACAGCGGAAAACGGCTCGAGAAATGTGTTTGCGAACTCCATAAATGCAAAAGTGAATCAGATGTGTGTGACTCAAACCTCCGTTCAAACTGTTTTCTCTTCCCAACGAAATTGAAAAATAGTGAAAGGTGAAGGTGATGGGCAGGATTGATCCACAGGAAGAACCAAAAAGGAAAACTTTGTCTGCCTAAGAAATCATCCCGAGTTTACAGAGAACATTTTGTATGTGGAGCGACGACAAAACAAAGAAGACAAACAGACTGAGCTGCACTTTCTTGTTGTTGTGGTTTTACAGCAACATCACGTCTTGGTCTCTTTGCAGTGGAAGGTGTTTCTTGGTGAACAGCTGGTGCCTTTCGCTTTGGCGTTGACTTTTTAAATTCGTAACCGAGGTTGAGTGAGGGATTTTGTTGGTGCCCTGAGCTTTTCACAGACGAGAGCAGGTTCACCCTGAGCTCCTGTGATGGACGTGAAAGAGCCTGGAGAAGACGAGGAGAACGTTCTGCTGCTGCACCACGGTTCACGTGAGCGGTTTGGTGGTGGGTCAGTGATGGTCTGGGGAGGCAGATCCATGAACGGACGCACAGACCTTTACCGACTAGAAAACGCCCGTCTGACGCCTTTAGGTATCGTGATGAAATCCTTGACCCCACAGTCAGACCCAACGCTGCTGCAGAAGGTCCTGGTTCCTCCTGATGCACGACAACGCTCCGGTCTCATGTTTGAGGAGTCTGCGGGCAGAACCTGAAGGATCAAGAAGAAAGCATTTTGAGCTGAAGAAATTAAATTCTTAGTAAATGGACAAACCTGCCACGTCATTATTTCACTTTGATTTTCAGGGTGTTTATAAGAAGCCCTCTGTGGTTGAAATGTTTTTTTGTGATCCTTTTGTTCGACATTGCTCTGTCCAGATTTGTACAGATATCCAACTTTTTCGTTCATACAGAGATCTGAGATTCCTTTTTTGTTTCCTTGTTTGAGCTGTGTGTATAAGAAGTAACGGGCTGCATTCAAGTTCTAGAATTGGATGAGGTTATAATAACTTTATAACTCTACAGGACATTCAGTGTTTTTGAAAGAAATCTCCAAACTTCTGATCCACAAATGTTTCTACTTCTCATTATTATTTGTTTGCGATTTAAACTTTATGGCTTTTAACTGACAACAAACACGTCTCTGGGCAGTAGTACGAGTAGTAGTAACAATAACAGTACTAGCAGTATTAATAAAAGTACTAGTAGCAGTAGTAACAGTACTAGTAGTATTAATGCTCATTGTGCATTGACAGATGTTCAAAGGTCTGTCTCAGGATGTAGTAGTTGTAGTTGTAGTAGTTGTAACAGCAGTAGTAGTAGTAGTTGTAGTTGTAGTTGTAACTGTTGTAGTTGTAGTAGTTGTAGTAGTTGTAGTTGTAACTGTTGTAGTTGTAGTAGTAGTTGTAGTTGTAGTTGTAGTAGATGTTGTAACTGTAGTAGTAGTAGTAGCTGTAGTAGTAGTAACAGTTCGTTGTGTGTATTCTCAGATGTTCAAAGGTCCGTCTCAGGATGTAGTAGTAATAGTTGTAGTAGTAGTAGTAGCAGTAGCAGTAACAGTTGGTTGTGTGTATTCTCAGATGTTCAACGGTCCGTCTCAGGATGTAGTAGTAGTAGTTGTAGTAGTAGTAGTAGTAGTTGTAGTAGTTGTAGTTGTAGTTATTGTAGTAGTAGTAGTAGTAGTAGTAGTAGTTATTGTTGTAGTAGTAGTAGTAGTAACAGTTCGTTGTGTGTATTCTCAGATGTTCAAAGGTCCGTCTCAGGATGTAGTAGTAGTAGTAGTAGTAGTAGTTGTAGTAGTTGTAGTAGTTGTAGTAACAGTTGGTTGTGTGTATTCTCAGATGTTCAAAGGTCCGTCTCAGGATGTAGTAGTAGTAGTAGTTGTAGTAGTTGTAGTAGTTGTAGTAGTTGTAGTAGTAGTAGTAGTAGTAACAGTTGGTTGTGTGTATTCTCAGATGTTCAAAGGTCCGTCTCAGGATGTAGTAGTAGTAGTAGTAGTTGTAGTAGTTGTAGTTGTAGTAACAGTTCGTTGTGTGTATTCTCAGATGTTCAAAGGTCCGTCTCAGGATGTAGTAGTAGTAGTAGTTGTAGTAGCAGTAGTTGTAGTAGTTGTAGTAGTTGTAGTAGTTGTAGTAGTTGTAGTAGTAGTAGTAGTTGTAGTAGTTGTAGTAACAGTTGGTTGTGTGTATTCTCAGATGTTCAAAGGTCCGTCTCAGGACATCGAGTCGGTTTTCACGGCTCCGGTCTCTGCCGTTTGCGGAGTCACTCTGGACGCCAGCGGGAAGAAGGAGTACCTCATCTCAGGTAAGAACACTTTACTGCTACATGTATGTATGTCTATGGAGGAATGTTACAGCAGTTACCACGGTGACACAGTGCACACATTAGCAAACACTGACAAAATAGATGGATGGATTTAAAGAGTGAGAGAGAGATTTTCAGGAGCCTGTGGTGTTTGTGGTGCTGTTTCGTAGTTTGATTTTGAGCTTGTGACGATGTATTTTATGTCGGAGAAACTTGTTTACGAGCACGGTTCATCTCACCTGTTGTAGTTCAGCTAAGTCGCTTCTTTGTGGTCAGATTGTGTTCGAACAAAGCTCAGATTAAAGTCTGACAAAGCCTCAAACAGGGCAGTGCCTGCAGTTAGCATCACAGAGAAGGTTCATGACTTCAGCTGTAGGATTGTTTTTTTCTATAGTATTTTAAATGGTTACATAACTGAGCTGAATCACAATAAATCACACCCCGAAAATCAAATCAAAGGTCAGTCCTGGTTTGGGCGTCACCTGTTGAGGATGATTAATGTCATTTAGTTTTTGTTAGTGATGTAACTTTCGGCTCTTTAATTGAATAATAATATTAATAATAATAATAATAATAATAATAATAATAATAATAATAATAATAATATCATTCGTTCTTTCATTTTAAAATTTTTGTTTTTATTTTGAAAAACAAATGAACAACTATTTTCTTCATTATTTGTCTCCAAAATCAAAATGAAAAAACAGAAAACGGCTGGTTCCCGTTTCCGTGACTTAAATCGTGATTCCGAACCAGGGCTAAACTGGGCTCAGTCCCGGTCTCAGAACTGGTCTGGTTTCGACCTGGTTTCGACATGATTCAGTCCTGGTTCAGTCCTGGTTTAGTTCTGGTTTAGTCCTGGTTTAGTCCTGGTTTAGTCCTTGTTTAGACCGGGTTTAGACCTGGATTAGACCTGGGTCAGTTCTGGTTTAGACCTAGTTTAGTCGTCGGTTTAGTCCTGGTTTAGTCCTGGTTTAGTCCTGGTTCAGTCCTGGTTCAGTCCTGGTTCAGTCCTGGTTTAGTCCTGGTTTAGTCCTGGTTCAGTCCTGGTTTAGTCCTGGTTCAGTCCATATCTGGCGCAAAAGTTCAGCATCTTCAGTTTTTTTGGTGAGAGTAATTTAAAAGTGCTGTAATAGTCGTGTAATGTTTTACATTACATTTAATGTTTTTAAATGCAGTAATATTGTAATGTAACAAATGACTTTGAAATGACAGAAACAAGTCAAAAATAACACATTACAGTTTTAAAGTCACTTGCCCAACAGTGATTGTGGGGCACGCAGTCGTTTTTTGATGGGGTTGGAGTCTTAAGAGCGTGACTTATAGTGCAGAAAATACGGTAATATTATTGTTTAATATTGTTGTCCAAGTTTTCAGTTTGTCCAACAAATGGTGCAAATAAAAAAACTGGAGACGTCTTGAGCAGAAGTTTATTTACCATCAATAATCCGGCCCCCGGGGGGACGCGAAAAGTGAACATAGTGTGATGTTTGAGTGTTTAAGTCCCTTGACTCTGCTTCTAGGTTTATAAAGTGAGTGCGATTAGAGACTCTGAGGCCAGTAGCTCCAGTTAAACAACAATATGTCACAATTTAGATAATGATGCCAGTGTTGTGCCAAGAGAAGATCATTGTGTAAATAATCTCTTGTGAGTCAATATTAAACTGAGATGTACGTGGAGGATAAATTACTTAAATTCTCTTACAGTATTTATACATTTATTTGATTATCTACAAACTATTCACAGACAAATGTCCAAGGTTCAGATCTAGAATTGTTCAAACTGAATAAATAAAACTTTACAAAAATATTCATTCCAAACTAATTGTTATTATGATGTTACAAGTGTTTTTTATGATTCTTGTGTTGGTTCACTGTGAAAAGATTTGGTTCTTTTAAAAAAATAAGATCAAAATAAAATAATAAATAATAATAAGTTCAATAATAAGTAAGTTAAAAAGATCCGGCTCACTCATAAATGTTACATCACTAATTGTTTGTAATTTTGTGTTACCTGAAACACCTGACACACCTGAGCAGACAGGTGAGCGCACAGGTGAGCGCACAGGTGAGCGCACAGCGCACAGGTGAGCGCACAGGTGAGCGCACAGGTGAGCCGACAGGTGTGGCAGGTCACAGATCTACACAGGACACTGCAAACAATTGATAATTTGCAGTGTCACACTGGGAGGGTTCTACATGCATGTCTAGGACACATTGTTAAGTACTTTCTAATGTGACACTATGCACACAGCTGCAAAGGTGTGAGGGCAGGTGACAGGGCAAGTGTCAGGGCAGGTGACCGGGGTCATGTGTGAGGGCAGGTGTCAGGGCAGGTGACAGGGGTCAGGTGACAGGGCAGGTGTCAGGGCAGGTGTCAGGGCAGGTGACAGGGGTCAGGTGACAGGGCAGGTGTGAGGGCAGGTGTGAGGGCAGGTGACAGGGCAGGTGTCAGGGCAGGTGACAGGGCGGGTGTGAGGGCAGGTGACAGGGGGTCAGGTGTGAGGGCAGGTGACAGGTCAGGTGTGAGGGCAGGTGACAGGGCAGGTGACAGGGGTCAGGTGACAGGGCAGGTGTGAGGGTAAATCTGTAGTTGTGTAGTTGTTGAGGTGTTTGGAGTTGGAGTTGTGTTTATGTTTCAGAGTTGATAATAAAGTGTGAGTGTGAGTAATAATCTGTACACACACTGTCACTGCCACTCTGGACTTCCCCCACAAAACACACACACACACACACACACACACACACACACACACACACACACACACACACACACACATATATACACACACACACAAACACGTACACACACGTACACACAAACACACGTACACACACGTACACACACACACACACACACACACAAATGCATACATAATACACCACATATATGCACACACACAAACACACACACAGATACACACACTTATACACATATACACACATACATATACACAAGTACACACTCACACATACACACACATGGGGGTGCTGTGAAAAAGTTTTTGTTAATCCCTCTTAGCCTAGAGGCCTATTTAATACATTTTATATATAAATAAATAGAAATTCAACATTTTATTGACATACACTTTAATATAATCTCTGACAGTTGAAAAACAATGTTAGAACAGTTTAAAAACGTTGTGTGTGACAATTGAAGAGCAGAATCTTCCACTTCCTTGGCCCTGGATACAGACAGTTTACAGGCTCTTCATCGCCTCCTGCTGGTTAAACGGTGTATGGCAGCTTGGACTAATTTCACTAAAACGCAGTGAACATAAATATTAATGAGATTTTACTACTTTATTGACTTTTTATTATTTTATTTTCTGGTTTGGCACAGTCAGCAGATGTAACACACACACACACACACACACACTCATTTCATAACTGTCATCTACAACTATAATGTGAAATAGAGCCAAAACTGACCTAATTTACTCAACAGTTGTGGTTACACTTTTCTTAAATGAACTTTTAAACACTGAAAAACAGGTAGTGTGCGACCAATCACAGAGCAGCACTGAGGTGTGGGCGGAGCCAAAGGTGAAGAGAACCAAAACAAACTGACAGACGTACTTCAGACTGGTTTAGAGTCGATACGGATTATTAAGTTTAGTTTGTTGAGTTTGTGAAAAAATATGCAGAGGGAAGAGCTGTACGGAGTTTAAAAACGCAGTGGAGCTCTTCCTGTATTACCACATGACATCACGAGGTGTAAAAGAGTTACTCAAACGTCTGTGAATGAAACAAAACACAAGTCCAGGTCTGTTTATGAGGAGGAAACAACATAGATTAGAAAAAAAGTGTAATATGGGATCTTTAAATGACCCTGTCCCTGTCTCTGCCCCTGTCTCTGCCCCTGTCTCTGCCCCTGTCTCTGCCCCTGTCTCTGCACCTGTCTCTGCACCTGTCTCTGCACCTGTCTGTCCTCAGGGAAGGCGGAGTCTGCGGGCAGTATGCACGTGACTCTGTGTGATTACATCCAGCCCTGGGACTCCCTGAGCACCACACAGAAGAAGAGCCTCAGCCAACGCTACCAGATGGGCTGTGAGTGTAAGGTAAGAGACGGAGGAGAGGAGGAGGAGGAGGAGGAGGAGGAGGAGGAGAGAGAGAGAGGAGGAGGAGGAGGAGAGGAGGCTGTGAGTGTAAGGTAAGAGAAGAAGGAGAGAGGAGGAGGAGGAGGAGAGGAGGCTGTGAGTGTAAGGTAAGAGACGGAGGAGAAGAGGAGGAGGAGGAGGAGAGGAGAGGAGGCTGTGAGTGTAAGGTAAGAGACGAAGAAGAGGAGGAGGAGGAGGAGGAGAGGAGAGAGGGAGGAGGAGGAGGAGAGGAGGCTGTGAGTGTAAGGTAAGAGACGAAGAAGAGGAGGAGGAGGAGAGGAGGAGAGAGGGAGGAGGAGAGGAGGAGGAGGAGGAGGAGGAGGAGGAGGAGGAGGAGAGAGGAGAGGAGGAGGAGGAGGAGGAGAGGAGGAGGAGAGGAGGCTGTGAGTGTAAGGTAAGAGACGAAGAAGAAGAGGAGGAGAGGAGGAGGAGGAGGAGGAGAGAGGAGAGAGGAGGAGTGAGCTGTGAAGTGTAAGGTAAGAGACGAAGAAGAAGAGGAGGAGAGGAAGAGAGAGAGGAGGAAAGGAGAGGGGGAGGAGAGGAGGCTGAGTGTAAGGTAAGAGACGGAGAGGAGGAAGAGGAGAGGAGGAGGAGGAGGAGAGGAGAGAGGAGGAGAGGAGAGGAGGAGAGGTGTGTGAACTGTAAAGAAAGAGAAGAAGAAGAGAGGGGAAGAGGAGGAGGAGACGAGGAGGAGAGGGGGAACAGATCCCTCTCTTCAGGAGAGGAGAGAGGGAAGAGAGAAGAGGGGAGGAGGCTGTGGCCGTAAGGTAAGAGAAGAAGAGAGAAGAAGGAGAGGAGGCGAAGAGGAAGGGAAGAGGAGCAGAGGGGAAAAGGGGAAAGGAGTAGAAGAGAGGATGCAGAGGTCAGGAAGAGGAGAGAAGGAACAGAGGAGGAGAGAAGATGATGAGCAAAGAAACAGAAGAGGAGCAGAGAGGAAAGGAGGAGGAGTAGAGGATGCAGAGGAGGAAATGGAAGAAAAGTAGAGGATGATCAGGTGGATGATCAGGTCTTTCTCTCCGTCCTCCAGATCGTGCGCTGTCCGTCTCTGCCGTGTGAGATCTCGGCCCCGGAGGAGTGTCTGTGGACGGACCTGATGATCGAGAAGCAGGTTTACGGACGCCAGGCCAATCACTACGCCTGCGTGAAGCGCTCCGACGGATCCTGCTCCTGGTACAGAGGAGTGGCCCCGCCCAAGAAGGACTTCCTGGACGCCGAGGACCCCTAGAGGCCCCCCCGCCGCACTGCAGCCCCACACACACACCCACACACGGACACTCCGACGTTAAGCCCCGCCTACAAAACCGACCACTCCGAGCCTTTAACCCCGTGTTTAAAGACGCACTGTGTAACTTTTTGCTTTTTCCTCAAATGTTCTACAGTACGGTGTTTATTTTTGGCACTTATCTCCACACAAATAAACTTAATTAAACTAAATTAATTCTAACATTTTCTCAGGGTTTATATGAGTCCAATCTGTCCTAATTTAACTGTTTATCTCCGAAATCAAGAGTTATTTTAACATTTTGAGAGTAAACGGTTAACATTTTGTAGAGTTATCCTGATTTAACCAAACAACACACAGAGGAGTTTTATTTTTACACTTTATTTGAGTTAATTTAAGATGAAATTATGAACAAAACTGGTTCAAACTGGTCTTCTGTCGCTGGAGTTTGAAGTGGAGGGTGCGAGGTGCGAAAATAACACCAGTGGAAGTTGAACTGACACTAGTAGACGTTAAATTACCACTAGTGGAAGTCGATTTTACACCAGTGGAAGTTAAATTAACACGAGTGGAAGTTAAATTAACACTAGTGGAAGTTAAATTAACACTAGTGGAAGTTAAATTAACACTAGTGGAAGTTAAATTAACACTAGTGGAAGTTAAATTAACACTAGTGGAAGTTAAATTAACACCAGTGGAAGTCGATTTTACACCAGTGGAAGTCAAATTAACACGAGTGGAAGTCAAATTAACACTAGTGGAAGTTAAATTAACACTAGTGGAAGTTAAATTAACACTAGTGGAAGTCGAATTAACACCAGTGGAAGTTAAATTAACACTAGTGGAAGTTAAATTAACACTAGTGGAAGTTAAATTAACACTAGTGGAAGTCAAATTAACACTAGTGGAAGTTAAATTAACACTAGTGGAAGTTGAATTAACACTAGTGGAAGTTAAATTAACACTAGTGGAAGTTAAATTAACACTAGTGGAAGTTAAATTAACACTAGTGGAAGTTAAATTAACACTAGTGGAAGTTAAATTAACACTAGTGGAAGTTAAATTAACACCAGTGGAAGTCAAATTAACACTAGTGGAAGTTAAATTAACACTAGTGGAAGTTAAATTAACACTAGTGGAAGTTAAATTAACACTAGTGGAAGTCAAATTAACACTAGTGGAAGTTAAATTAACACTAGTGGAAGTCAAATTAACACTAGTGGAAGTTAAATTAACACTAGTGGAAGTTAAATTAACACCAGTGGAAGTTAAATTCATATCAACTCTGGGAAATAACCCCAACTCAAACCCCCATTTAACTTTCAAATAGTTAAAATAAAACTTTCTGTGTTTAAAAGCAACTCTAAAATATTTTTACCCTGAAATTTTAACCCTCCATTTTTTTTTTCTGTGCGTGGCCACATCACTAGGACAAGTCACGGATCAGATCTGTGGAGACGTGGACCCGTTCCCAGAAAGTTTTGAGAAATAAAAACACCTGTAAATTGAATAAATGCAAGATTATTACAGTTTGTGCTTTAATGCCGTACTGTGGAACATCCCAGGCAAAGCAGTAACATTCCACTTCACGAGAAAAGTTACACAGCGCATTTTTTAAGTGTTTTATTTTATGTTTTGCGTTCACGTGACGTCACAAAATTAGAATCCCAGAAGTTTAAACGGAGCTGGAAACGAGTCACAGTTTTCAGGTGGAGTGTGTCCGATTTCTCGACCCGGTTTACGGTTCGTATCTCGGTAAAGTTCCTGGGTCCTAACCACGAGAAACAAAAACGGCGTCAAATTTCAGCCTCGTCTTTGTCAATATAAATAAACAAAAGTGGAGAAGGTTCGGAGATTTATTTAAAAAACGGCGAATCTCCTTCCGAAAATTAAAACATCGAATTCTAGAACGTGAACGCAAACTATCCCCCCCATCCCCGTTAAAAGCGAAAAGCGTCGGAGGTTTTTTCTCGGACAGATTTTGCGACGTCGTGCTCGGGGTTGTTGTGACGTCACTTCCTCCTGAGGCTGGCGTCAGGTGGACTTTTATTTTGAAACGAACAGAGCACTTCCTGCCCCCGAAAGCTCTTAACCCTAAAACTTCGACTTCGACCACGATTAATCCTTCGCTATTTAACCCGAAATACGGCGTTTACGTAGCGAGGCCTGACGCCATCGGTAACGGCGAACGTCGTTAACCCGATTTGACATACTCACACGAACATCCATTTTAATTCCTTTTTATTGTTTATTTTCTGTTCAATTAACGGGTGAAGTTGTTATGATTTTTTTACTTTTTAAAAATTTACAACTAGAATTATATCTCCTAAAGCCTCGCTACGTAACTTTTTATGTCTTGTTTCCATGGAGATGTTGTAGCGTTGCCCGTAATATTCCGCAGTACGGCATTACACAGCGCTTGTTAACAAATTGTAGGTGTTTTCGTTGCTCAAAAATACACGAAATTTTATGGAAAAACACGCGTCCTCACTGTGGGTGGACTCGCCTCTCCGCAGATCCGAGCCGTGACTTGGCTTCGTAGCGTCGCCCGCTCGTTTCCGTGGAGATACAGCTGTTCCAGGACGTACAATTAATGCCGTACTGTGGTTTATTCCAACGCAATATTCAATACAGTACGTTTTCTCCATTGTAACAGGCAGGAGGCAGAAACGTACGCCAGAAATGTTCCGTAGTGCGGCTTTATGTCCCCCCTGTCCCCCCGTCCCCCCCCCCCGTCCCCTCGTCCCCTCGTCCCCTCGTCCCCTCGTCCCCTCGTCCCCCGTCCCCGTCCCCCCCGTCCCCGTCCCCTCGTCCCCCCCGTCCCCCCGTCCCCCCGTCCGTCCCCCCGTCCCCCCCCGTCCCCGTCCCCTCCCCCGTCCCCCTCGTCCCTGTAGCTGTACAGAAATCTGCAAATACTTCAGTTGTTTTTATTATTTTCGGCTTTAGAAACTTTAGATTTGCACTTTTGAAGGACGCACCCAGACTCTGAGTGAAAAAACAAACAAAAACGCTTCGTGATGAATTAACTCGCTGTTGATGCTTTGCAGTGACGTCGCGCCGGGGGTGTTCGACGTGTGTGTCTACGGAGGAATGTCAAGCAGTTATACAGACAGAACGGAGCCCGTGATCAGTGCGAGCGTTCATGGTCCAGTTAGACCTGGTTCAGACCAGGATTCAGACCGGGTTCAGTTGTGGGTTCAGTTCTGGTTTAGTCCAGGGTTTAGTCCTGGTTTAGATCTAGTTTAGTCCTGGGTTAGTCCTTGTTTAGACCTTGTTCAGTCCTGGTTTTGTTTAGGTTCAGTTCAGGTTCACTCCTTGTTCAGTCCTGGGTTCAGTCCTGGTTTAGATCTGACTGAACCAGTACTGAACTGGAACTGAACCAGGGTTTAGACGTGGTTTAGACCTTGTTCAGTCCTGGTTCAGTCCTGGTTCAGTCCTGGTTTAGTCCTGGTTTAGTCCTGGTTCAGATCTGGGTCAGTCCCAGTTTAAACCTGGTTTGGACCTGGTTTAAGTCTTGGGTTAGTCCTGGTTTAGACCTGGTTTAGACCTTGTTCAGTCCTGGGTTAGTCCTGGGCTAGTCCTTGTTTAGACCAGGTTCAGTCCTGGTTTAGTGTTGGTTTAGACCTGAGTTCAGTCTTGGGTTAGTCCTGGTTTAGACCTGGTTTTAGACCTGATTCACTCCTGGTTTAGTCCTGGTTGAGTCTTTCTTCAGTCCTGGTTTAGTCCTGGTTTAGTCCTGGTTTTAGACCTGGTTCAGTCTGTATGCGGCGCCAAAGTCCAACACTCACTTGTTGTTTTTCCAGTTTTGAGTCAGTTCTGTAAAAATAAAACTCATCAGATTAAAGTCAGACTTGAGTAACAGAGTTTCAGACGGAGCAGTGCGTCGTGTTAGCGTCACACCTCCAGATCACGTCCACCTGCGAAGCGTCGACAGAGAAACGAGCCGATTCTGCTTCTGAAACTGGGTGAGAGCAGCCGCTTCGTGTCGATACTGATGATTGTAAATGAGATATTCCTGTTTTTTCTCGCAGACTTAAATATGGAAAAAAATCGCTTCAATGTTTTGCTCTTTTTACGTTATAAATTACTCACCGCTAAACGCCGTCCTCTGTGCCGTTTTTACGCTTCGATAAATACAATAAAAGTACAAATCGAGTCTTATTTAAAGGGTTTTTGGTTTTTCCTGATGATTTCTTTGCGTGTTTTTTGACGTTGGCGGCGGCGGCGGCGGCGGCGGCGGCGGCTCTCGCGCTGGAAAACCGCGAGGGCCCGACTGCTTTTTGTTACAGATGGAGAAAAATGGCAGGATCGTGCATGTTTTAAAAAAATGTGTAAAGGTAAAAAATGTCAAATAATCAATATTATCAATAAAACCAAATGTTTCAAACGGGAAGTGTGTGTACGAATCTTTAACTCGGGAGTTTTGGTGGTTTTAAAAAGAGACTGAACCTGATTTTTGAGTTTTAAAGGACGAGAAGAAAAGGAGGAGGAGAAGAGACGTAAAAGAGAGAGAAAGAGTGGAGGAGAGGAGAGGAGAGAGAAGGAGCCAAGAAGCAGAGGGAGGGAGGAGAAGGAGAGAGGAGAAAAGGAGAGAGAAGAGAGATGAGGAGGGAGAAGAGAAGAAGAAAGGAAGAGCAGAGGATAGGAGAGAGATGAAAGGGGAGAAGAGAGAAGTAGAAAGCAGGAGAGAGGAGGAGAAGAAAGAGGAGGGGGAGAGGAAGGAAGAGGAGAGAAAGCAGAGGAGAGAGGAGGAGGAACAGAAGTAGAGGAGAGGAAAAGAAAGGAAGAGCAGAGGAGGAGCAGAAGAGAGGAGGAAGAGCAGAGGATAGGAGGGAGGAGAGGAAGACGGGTATAGGAGAGGGGAAGAAGGGAGGAGAAGAGGAGGAGAAACGGAAGGAGAGGAGATGAAAAAAGGGAAGAACAGGATAGGAGACAGGAAAAGAAGAGAAGGAGTAGAGGAGAAAGGAAGAGCAGAGGAGGGAGAGAAGAAAAGAGGAGGAGAGGAGAGGGGGAGCAGAAGAGAGGAGGAAGAGCAGAGGATAGGAGGGAGGAGAGGAAGACGGAGAGGAGGAGCAGAGGAGAGGAAAAAAAAGGGAAGAACAAAGAATAGAGAGGAAAAGAAGAGAGAAGGAGCAGAGGAGAGAAGAGGAGAGAGAGGAGAGCAGAGGAGGGAGAGAAGGAAAGAGGAGGAGAGGAAGAGAGAAGTATAGGAGAGGAAGAAAGAGGAGAAGAGGAGAGAAGTAGAGTTGGGAGGAGAGGAAAGAGGAGGAGAGAGGGAGAAGGAGAGAAGGGAGGAGGAGAACAGAGAAGAAAGGAAGAGCAGAGGATAGAGAGAAGAGAGGAGGAGGAGATGAAAGAGGAGAAGAGAGAAGTAGAAAGCAGGAGAGAGGAGGAGGAGCAGAGGAGAAGAAAGAGGGGAAGAGGAGAGGAGACTAAAAGCAGAGGAGAGAGGAGGAGAAACAGAAGTAGAGGAGAGGAAAAGAAAGGAGGAGAGGAGATGAAAAAAGGGAAGAAAGAATAGGAGAGAGGAAAAGAAGAGAGGAGTAGAGGAGAAAGGAAGAGCAGAGGAAAGGAGATTGAAAGAGAGGAGAGGAAGAGCAGAGGAAAGGAGAGAGGGTTAGAGAAGGAAAGAGGAGGAGAGGAAGAGAGAAGTATAGGAGAGGAAGAAAGGAGAAGAGGATAGAGGAGAGGAGGGAGGGAAGGAGAGAGGAGAAAAGAGAAGGAGCAGGGGAGGAAGAGGAGAAGAGCAGAGAAGTAGAGGCAGGAGGAGAGGAGGTGAGGAGAGAAGGAGGAGAGGAGGAACAGAAGTAGAAGAGAGGAAAAGAAAGGAAGAGCAGAGGATAGGAGAGAGGAAGAGAGGAGAGGGAAGGAGCAGAAGAGAGGAAGAGCAGAGGAGAGGGAAAGAAGGTCAGAAGGAAGAGAGGAAGAAAGGAGCAGAGGAGAGAAGTAGAGGAGGGACGGAGGAGAGAAAAAGATCTGGATCTATAAATGTATAAGCAGCTTTTCTCTTGAGGTCAAAATAAGTCCTCTGTTCTGTCTGCATCTTATTATAAAGAGTTTTTATCGTCCTAGAATCATTCATTCTAGTTGATTTTAGCATCAGCATCACGGCAAAACTGATCTAAACGGAGACGAGGACCGAGGAACCGTCGTCATCGTGTTTGGTTTAGTTTAGGTTCAAATTATGTTCCAAAAATAACATATAATCTGTTGTTTTTACTTCAGAAATCAGGACCGTTGCCATGGAAATTAACGATTAAAACAGCAAAATATGACATCTTTTAAAATGGTGTGGGGTCCTCAAAATGGCGTCACCTAACAGGAAGCTGAAACATACAGACTGAGACTCGTGGTGAAGAGAAAACTGAGATGGAGAGGGTGAAGAGGCCGGTGGTTCTGCTGCTGCGGACATATATGAACATAACAAAATGACATGTTTAAATTAAATCCATTTTATTCTGTAAATTGTTCTTTTACAGTTTCAGAAATTCCCCGTAACATAATAATAACAGAATAAACTATAATCATGCACAAACCGTCGTGACTCTGAGCTGCCGTGCCTCAGTCCGGACAGCAGAGGGCAGCGTTCACACTTTAAACCCCCGATACAAACCCGCGTTTCCTTTCACACGAGACCACAGACGTGACACTTAAAAACGTAACGATCTGGTTTCCATGGTAACCAGGGGACAGGGCTGTACAATAAAAAAAATTAAGAAAAAGCTAAATAAAAAACTATAAACTTGAGACTTAAACGTTCTGTGCACCATTCGTTCTTTTGGATTTCAATTAATAAACAGGTGACAGATCGACCCTGCACCAGAAAAGTTACACGGTGCATCTTTAAAGACGAAATCAGGACTAAAAAACTGACAAAAATATTGTACAGCCCTATGATCCATAACTCTTTCTTTTTTTTTTTTGTTTTTGTTTTAATCCATAATTTTCACAGTGACGCCGCTAAAAGAGAAAGAAAAGTCGAGCAGCAGAAACCGTTCAAAGGCACAGAATCAAGTTTTTTAAAATACACAGAAAAAAAAAAAAAAAAGACAAAAAATTACACAAAATTATGAAAAATTTGGTGAAGTTGTGAGATTTTCCTGAGCGGAGGAGATTTGGTTTCTGACATAAAGTAGAGAAAAGTAAAGCTGGCCAAAGACTTGTGTTAAAGAGCAACAATTGTAAATCGTTTGTACTTTCGTAGCCGCAGCTGCCCTGGGACAGACTGACGGACGTGTGGCGGCCAATCTGTGACAATGGCCCCTAAATCACCAACGCCAATGGAAATAATTGTACGAAAATGGTCATAGGCGCAACTGGGACTAAACCACCAACCCAAACACATGTTACGGGTTAAATTCCCACTTTCAACCCACTTTTCAATGTGCCCTTGAGCAAGACACTTCAACAATCACGTCCACATTAAAGGTAAAGTACGTAACCTGTGCTGTAAATGTTTTTTTTGTTAGTTTTCTACTATGTTATAACATTGTTCCGTCATTACAAACACGTCTGAAGAGGTTTTAGAGTCATCCATGCACGTTTGAGTAATCTAGCGATCTCTCCCGAGCCCTATTCCAAACGCTATTTATGGTTAGAGGTACGAGCCTTGTACAAGGCTCCGCCCACAAGCCCACCTCACCCATGCTCCAACTCAACTATTCTCCATAAATATACAAAAACATGATACAAAACTGTTCTGTATTAAACTAAAACGGGTTGGAAGCGACAGAAGAGCAGCCACATGCCTGTCGGTCTGCCCCAGGACGGCTCTGGCACCGAAGAGGGACTCAGGTCATTTCATTTGTGAACTCACCATCACATCATTTTTCAATCTTAAAACATCTTAAAACAATATCTATTTATCTGGCTCAAAATCTATTGGTCCGTTCCTCCTCTGCAGCCACGATTTCAACCGAGATTCTGGTGAAAAACGAAAAATACTTAAAGATGTTTGTTCATTTTTAAAACACTAAAATAAAATTGTAACATCTTTTTAGCACCAAAATCGAAGAAAAAGTCAAAGGTCTAGTCCCAGGTCCAGTCCCAGGTCCAGTCCCAGGTCCAGTCCCAGGTTTGAGTTCGTTTTTTAAAGCCCTTTGTTGAAGTAAACATATTTGATGCCGTCTCCGTATTTGGACAGGATGGACTCTCTGAGCTCCGGCTCCAGTTTGGACACAGCCATAGAACTGAAAACAAAACACAAAACAAACCATTATGTTTATTTAAATTTAAGAAATAAATCCAGACTAAACAAGGCCTAAACCATCAGTGATACTAGATGGACTAAACTAGATTAAAATGCAGCACAAACACGGACTAAACTCAACCATCCATGATACTAAATGGACTAAACCAGGTCTAAACCAGGTCTAAACCAGGTCTAAACCAGGTCTAAACTAAGACAGGTCTAGAATAAACCAGGTCTAACCCAGGTCTAACCCAGGTCTAGACTAAACCAGGCCTAAACCAGGTCTAACCCAGGTCTAACCCAGGTCTAGACTAAACCAGGTCTAACCCAGGTCTAACCCAGGTCTAACCCAGGTCTAACCAGGTCTAACCAGGTCTAACCCAGGTCTAACCAGGTCTAATTAAACCAGGTCTAACCAGGTCCAGGTCTAATTAAACCAGGTCTAGACTAAACCAGGTCTAACCCAGGTCTAAACCAGGTCTAACCCAGGTCTAGATTAAACCAGGTCTAAATTAAACCAGGTCTAAACCAGGTCAAAACCAGGTCTAAACCAGGTCTAAACCCAGGTCTAACCCAGGTCTAGGTCTAGACTAAACCAGGTCTAACCAGGTCTAACCCAGGTCTAACCCAGGTCTAACCCAGGTCTAGACTAAACCAGGTCTAACCCAGGTCTAAACCCAGGTCTAGAAAACCAGGTCTAAAGGTCTAACCAGGTCTAAACCAGGTCTAAACCAGGTCTAAACCAGGCCTAAACCAGGTCTAACCCAGGTCTAACCCAGGTCTAGACTAAACCAGGTCTAAACCAGGTCTAAACCAGGTCTAAACCAGGTCTAAACCAGGTCTAAACCGGGTCTAAACCAGGTCTAAACCAGGTCTAAACCAGGTCTAAGCATGAACACACTTTACCATTGTTGGGGGAAGAGGGAACAGGCTGCAGGGACCATGAAGATCAAACTGTCAAGAGAAATAAACAAAAACTCAGGTTAAAAGAATTCATTTTAATATAAATGTGTTTAATAAATTAAAATGTGATAATGTGACACTCACAACACGCCCACCATCATGACCTGGATCGGCCCGTGAAGAAATGTGATTCTCTGTGGAGAAAAAAAAGACTAAATTAATTTTGAACTCAAAATACGTTATAAGACTTGGTGCTAAAGAATTAAAGACTGACCTGCATAAATCTGAACTTTTCCATCCTCTGCATGATAATGGGCATAATAACTACAAAGAAATACAAACATGAGTTAGGTTCATGTATTTATTTAAAGTAATGTTGGTAAATAAGTGTTAAAGTTTTTTTCATACTCATTCCTGGAGCGGCCATCGTGATTCGAGAGATCACCACCTGCGTTATTCCTTTAATCGCAGCTTTCTGAAAATAAAATCATTATGTTCCACATTGTTCATAAATGTGCGTCTATTTTACTGTAAACTCTGTTCTGTTTTATTATAAACTGATGATGTGGTGAATCTGACCTTTGACTCTCCCAGTTTGTTTCCGTTCTCGTCTGTGACGGCGATGCCGTTCAGGATCTCTCTGAAAACAACAACAAAGACTTGATTTGACGTCATAATTATAATAAACCACTGTTCACACATTTATTTCAGATTATATACTGTATATATTTCATCTATCTCATCTCTGATCACCACCAGACGAGGTGTTTAAAGCTCTGAATGTTCACGCACAGGATCATCCAGGATTCATAGAACTGAAGTTACAAACGTAACTATCATTTAAACAAATAAATTCATAAAAGTGTCGCCGTTTCTCACTGTTGACCCATCGTTTAACGGATTTCAGATGCTTTTTGTTTTTTTTATGTAAGAACATTTGCCAATATATAATATGAACAGTTACAGTATATCTGAAGTATGTTTTACTGTTGTATCATTGTCTGATTGTCTGATTTCAATTTGGGTTTAATTGTAGTTGAAAGTGGATTTATTGCTGCCTAATCTTTTATTCTCTTACTTCTCTCAGTTTCCTCATTTATTTATGTTTTAAATATTGTTGTCTCATCATAGGGATGTTTTAAATATTTTTTATATTTTATTATATTATCTGTTCTTACTGTTGTCATATGTTATGTTTTAAATATTTTATATTTATTATATTATCTGTTTTCTTACTGTTGTCTCATCATGTTTAATGTTTTAAATATTTTATATTTTTTATATTATCTGTTTCTTACTGTTGTCTCATTTATTTATGTTTTAAATATTGTTGTCTCATCATAGGGATGTTTTAAATATTTTATATTTTTTATATTATCTGTTCTCTTACTGTTGTCTCATGTTAATGTTTTAAATATTTTATATTTTTTATATTATCTGTTTTCTTACTGTTGTCTCATCATGTTAATGTTTTAAATATTTTATATTTTTTTATATTATCTGTTCTCTTACTGTTGTCTCATTTATTTATGTTTTAAATATTGTTGTCTCATCATGTTAATGTTTTAAATATTTTATATTTTATTATATTATCTGTTCTCTTACTGTTGTCTCATCATAGGGATGTTTTAAATATTTTATATTTTTTATATTATCTGTTCTCTTACTGTTGTCTCATCATGGGGATGTTGACACAGTTGGCGGCGGCTACAGCGGCGAAGGGAACCCAGCGAGCCACGAGAGGAGGAGCTTTCTGAAAAGAGGAGAAAAAAAACAGAGAACATTTTTATGCTTAATGTAAATGTTTTTTTTTTTTTTTTGCTCAAACATGACGCAGACTTTGTACATAAACTCAACAGCCCTGACGTCGTCACACTGACATCAGCAGAAGACGGTGAAACACACGGGTGTCGGGTTTGAGCCCGGGGGACTTACCTTTGTGTAGAGGTTGAGTCCGACGGCTGTGGCCAGAGCTGTGCTGGTGGCAGTGACGTACGCCACTCCAATCTGTCTGAAAACAACACATGGACAAACATTTAAAGATCCACTACGAAACTTTTAAGGCTCCATCATGCTTTCCCCCACTGAGATGTTATTATGCTGCCGAGAATGTTCCACTGTACAGCATTTAACTTGTTTTCTAAAGAGATAAGAAGACGACAGCACCAGGCCAAGTTAGGGGTCAGATCTGTGGAGAGGCGAGTCTGCTCATAAAACAAATGTATGTTTTTGTCAATTAAAACCACAATAAAGACCAGAGTGTGTAAATATGATTCTTTATACTCCACGATAAAGACAGACAAGTTTAATGTGATACTGCTGAACAAAACAATAACATCTCCATGGATACGAGCAGACGGCATACCCTCCACAAGAAAAGTGACATAGTGTAGCTTTAAACACACATGATAAAAACATACTAAGATGGTTTAGGGCGTCTTACTTTGGCGTGATGGGCGACGCCGCGTTCCTGTTCGTGTAATTCACCAGAGCGTTAAACGACTGATTCACCCACTGCCAGAAAACCACCGCAGGAACCGTCCTACGAAACAATCACACAAAATCATTCAAGTCGGGGGTTTTATTTTACTTCTCTGGGGCATTAACTGCTAACACGAAACAGATTTAGATCACCGTGTTCCCTTGTATTGTTTTGAAAATGCTCTACTCACCAGAAACAACAGATTCAAATGTTAAATTATAATGAGTTTCAGAGGTTGTGGGTTGGCAGGTCATGATAATTACTAAATTGACTTTTCGTTCAATAAATGACAGATGAAACTATAATTTTTGTAGTAAATATTCATCGTGCACAGTTTCTTTGCACTGCTGGTTAATTTTTGTTATTTTTTTGGCCATACGATGAGAGATTTGAGCCGTAAAAGGTTGAATTAATAATTTCTTTAACTAAAAAAGTGTTTAATTCTACTGTTTATTTATTGCAGCTTGTGATTTTTAATAATATTGTACATTAAGAATAGTTTTGTGGTTTAAATCTGATCTTGTGTAGTTGCATAAATTTGTTTAAATATTGTTATTAGCCCCGTGTTCACCTGTAGAACTGGAGCATGAAGCCGGTGATGGCCATTCCCCCGGGCACCTGGAACGACATCCGACCAATCAGATTCATCCTGTCGCCCGTATCCGGGTGAAACGCCGAGTCGTAAAGTTTTTTGGCATAAAAAAGCTGCTCGTCCGTCGTACCAGGAGGAACTGAACCGGCCCTGAAGAGAGACGAGAGAATAACAGACATTCAGGTGACAGAAATACATAATAATTTAACCACATGTTTCTAGCCTGATTCTTCAGACGGTTTCACTTCGTAGAAACCATCTGACCTCGCAGCATTAGGATTCGTTCGACAGTAGGCGGGTACTTTTTTTATTTAACTAATCGCTGCTATTTGGTCGAGACGTATGTAATGTGCAGGAATGCTCAGTGGTGTCACAACAGTAAACAGCAGAGAGTGAAAATCCTCGATCTCGGGAATCATCGCCCACACAGAATGTCTGTCTTCATCTACATCCACCTCAACACTTTGTTTACTGTTGTGCTGTTCCACAAAAGGGACACAGACGGACGCCAACGAGTTTGACATCATGGCTTCACAGCTCACAGCTGATTGGTCGGTGTGCGGTCTACAACTTCCAGAGTTTTTGCAAACCGTCTAGTGTATTTCTGATTCCTGACCTAGGCGCTGGAGAGAAATTAAATTGAGTGGAGGCACTAGGTGGCGCCACCTTGGCTAACATTTTTCTGGGATGAAATAAAAATGCTTAAATAATTATAATAAATAAAAGTAATAAACTTGTTACTTGTTAAAAATAGAAACAATTGAAACAAGGTAAAAATGTAAGAGAAAAAAAATTCACAAAAACTTTAAAACGTAGTGGCACAAATAATATCAGGTAGAATTAATTTAACTGATCATGAGTTTAATTTCATATACATGAATGTATGTGTTCTAATTATTTAAAATAATACATATTAGGGGTGTAACGATATCCAAGTCTCACAATACAATATCGTCACAATATGAACCTCACGATACGATATTTATTGTGACATCGTAGGAAAGTTCACGATACGGTGGGGAGGCTCACGATTAGGAATGTAACAATATCCAAATCTCTAAAGATATTTATGCAATATTTTAACGATACACATCTCACGATACAATATTTATTGTGATATTTTGTGAAGGCAACAAAACTGTTAATATTTTACTTTTTCCTCTTAAAATGCCTTGACAAGACTTAATCCAGAGACCTAAAATTTAAAAGTGCTTAGTGCTTTTTTGAGTAAATTATGTATAAATCCTGCATTTACCCATTTAAAATCATCTGTGTTGTTTTCCAAATAAAACATATTTGCAATTCTTTGCAAATTAAAGCCATAGTGTGTTACAAAATGTTTGTTATTGCACTGAAAAACTTGTGTCCTTATTTTGAGTGGGCTTGCATCTCCACAAACCTGACTTTTATTTGGCCTGGAGGAAGACTTACTTTAGTTTGTTTTTGTTTGTTTTTTTAATGGAAATGTTGTTCCTTTGATTTTAATATTTCAGTGAATGTCAATAAAGCACATCTATCTCCATGGAGAATATTCCAAAGAATAGTTTTATCTTTCCATTTCCATAGAATCATGCAGGTGACAGATCCAGAAAGTTACACACTGTCACTTTAATAAAATACTGCTTACCAGTCCGGTCCCCAAATCTCACAAATATTCATTTAAATGGTCAAAACTTTAACATAATGTCAGAACTAAAAGTCTTCTCTGTCAGAGTTAGTTTCTGGCTGTTGACATGTTTGAGTGATTGACAGTGAAATGGACCAATCAGAGGGCTGTTTGCAGACGTCACCTGCAGCTCTCGACCAGCGCTTTTGCCTCGTCGAGTTTGGAGTCTGGGAGGAGGGCGGTGCGAGGGTCTGTGATGTTAAAGAAATGTTTCAAACGCCCCATGAACGTGGACTGGTCCCAGCGCGGGGCGTCGATATCCAACGAACGCACCGCCATCTCCGAGCTGTGTCCGGCACCGCAGCAGCACACGAGCAGACGAGCAGACGAGCAGAGGAGGGAGAGGGAGGAAGAGGAGGAGGAGGCACTGGAAACCTGGAGAAACAAGAACAAGAACTGTTAAAGATGCAATATGTAACTTTTCTGAGGGAGATTTTATTGCCTGGAATGTTCAACTGTGACATTAAACTTTTCCACCTTCATTTATGTTACTAAAGGTGTTTTAATTGTTTGCATTCTTACACATCCCCACAGATCTTGGCCCGTTGACATCACCAGCTTGTCTCTATGGCAACAGACATGTTTAATGCCATACTGTGGAGCATTCTAGACTATAAGCAATAACATCTCCATGGAGACAAGCAGGTTAAATTAAAGAGTCTGTAAGGGTTTTTCCAATATCTCTTTCTCAAATTATTAACCACAGTTTATTTATTTTTTGTATCTCCACATCTGCACCTGCTCCTCTGAAGCCCGTCCCCGTTTCAGTCCAGCCTGTCCCAGTCTGATCCTGTGGAACATTAACCTGCTTTATCTGTCTCCAGGTCAACCCGGTCCACAACGGACACACACACACACACACACACACACACACACACACACACACACACACACACACACACACACACACACACACACACACACACACACACACACACACACAAAAAACACAACAAAATATGGAACATTGAATTTTTAACTGACCCCATTCCAAACTCTCACCTAAATTACGTCTGTCAAAAGAATCGAAAATCACTGAACGAAACTGAAATTAGAATTGAAACTAGAGCCTCAGTTTCACAAGTCCCACTGACGAGACGGAGCAGAACTTTTCCTGAACGTCTTTAAAACGATCTGGAGCCGCATCAGAACAAGTATGTGTGAAAAATCCATCAGTCGTCCAGGTAGAATCAACAGCAAATTCAATTTGTCAACTGGACAAAAGTTTATTTGGTCAAATGTTCGAATGTTTGACCAAACAAACTTTTGTCCAGTTGACAAACTGAATTTCTCCTTTGTCTCAAAACAAGTGTAATGCAGCGTTCAGACACTGGACACGCTGGACGCCTCCAGTTGAACGGACGCCTTTGCATTTGAGTTTAGACGCCCCCGACGTGTGTCTTACACACCGTGGATAAACCGACGCTCTGAAAACAAGTGCCATTTCCTGATCTTTTCCTGGAACGATGGCAGACCAAGTTGAGAGAGACTTTAGTGTTTTAATCACATAAACCATCAGTGGAGGTTTATATTTATACTCTAATAACACTGGTGAAGTCAGGGTTATAGAGCACACTGTACTTCACATTTTGGGCTTCTTTATTTCTCGTTCACAAAACATCCACACAGAACAACAGTGGCACCTCTGAAAGAGGATAAAATAAACACACATATTTTCAATATTATTTCATAGAAAACATAAACAATAAACAATATCTCATTGTACAGCCATTTCCTGACCGATACAGTTGAGTATGAACTTTTGTGGCCTAAACAGATCTTTCTCCAGCAAAACATAGAACCCTTCTGTCATCGTTCAACGTTCATGTAAAGTCATACAGCAGGTGTCACAATGAACAAACAAAAAATGAACAGGATTTACATTAAAATCTACAATTTTTCACAGGTACCTCATTTTTCATCTGGTTACACTGATTTAGTCCTGGTCCAGTACTGATTTAGTCATCGTCCAGTCCTGGTTTAGACCTGGTCCTGGTTTAGACCTGGTTTAGACCTGGTTTAGACCTGGTTCAGACCTGGTTCAGACCTGGTTCAGACCTGGTTCAGACCTGGTTTTAGTCCTGCTTTAGTCCTGCTTTAGACCTGGTTTTAGTCCTGTTTTGGACCTGGTTTAGTCCTGCTTTAGTCCTGGTTTAGACCCCTGCCTTAAATCTCACAGGAGTGGGTTTTGTGTAACACAGGAGCCTTAAGTATCGAGTCTTTTCCTTTTACTACGGTGTAAATAAATAAATAAAAGAATAATTACGCGGCGACTCTCTGCGGTCGAACTGCAGGAATCATCAGCTCCTGCGGTGAAACGGGCCCACAGACTCCAGTTTAAAGTTTTTAGCTGGGTTGGCGTTTTGTTTGTGCTGAGCAGAGTGTGGCCTGGCGCTGGGGTCGGGGCGAGGGCCCGAGGAGAGCGGATCATCACACTTTAATCAAACCAGCGCTAACAATTTCCAATAGTCGATGATCCTCCGGGGGGTTTTTTGTTTTTAAAGGAGGTGTGCAGGTCTGAGCAGAGCCAAGACGATCGAGCAAGAAATCTGACTGTTCTGTTGTGTTTATGTTGATGAAATAAATATAAGCCGTTTTTATTTGTTTTTAAAGGTGCACTGTGTAATTTTCCTGGTGGGAGATCTGCTACACACTCGTCTCCATGGAAATAGTCTTGTTTTTCCTGGGATTTTCCACTTATTCCACTTATGTTTTCAATAACAACAGTTTTATTCAGGGTATCCTGAGGTTTGACGACCCCAAATTTAAGACTTTTTAAGACCACTTAAATGAAAATTAAGACCAACATCACACCCGTTATGAGGGCGAAAAACACCAGATCCAATTCCAATAATGACCAAACAACAACCAATACTATAGGTGAGTTTCATTGTTGACAAAAGCGCGCGTTGCATGCTGGGAATTATTTTAGTCGGCGGCAAGAAACACTAATTCAACATGACGGACGGAGTGAGAAAGCACGTAAAGGGTATTGATCCCGGTTATTTATCCACTCTAACGGCAGAGGACCCAAGACCATTTGACCAGAAATTGGTCATAAACATCGACGGACGACAAATCACCCTTTTCAACCCCGACAAAAGGTGGACCAAACCAAATTTCTGGTCAGAATCGCCAACTACCTGGACAAATATTCACTTCGGCGATATTCACAATGACTTGGTGGAAACTCCTGGGCCATTCACAGCAGAAAAGATGAAAACCTCCAAGAGTCTCGATGTGTTGTTGAACTTATACAAAATACGAAATATACAAATACGAAAAAGACATTTTCCTTCTTCCGTGTTTCTATTTGTGCGTCCGATAATGCAGCAGGAATTTTCCATTATCGGGGATAAATACGCGAGGTTACGCACTGTGTTTGACGCTACCGTGTTTCTTGCCTCCGACCAAAATATTTCCCAGCAGCAACAGGGGCTTTTAATAACAATTACGTCAGCTGAAAGTCGCCTGTATCTAGAATCTAAGAATAGGCCTGTAACAATAACAGATTTTGCTGGACGATTAATTGACCAAGAATTTATTGCGATAAATGATAATATTGACATTTTGAGACCAATTTCACCTAATATAATGACTATGGAATAAAAATGTAAACACACCCTTTCAAAGATCAATAAACTTTACTTTCTAAAGAACATTTAACATAGGAACTGTAAGAAAAACAAAAACAGGCCTAAATAAAACAGATTTGTTAACATAAGAATATCCTAATATCTGGTTTACAGTGAGGACTTGTTCACAAAAATACACTTGAATAAACCATTGATGAACCAAATACAACCAAAACAATAAATAAAATGGATTATTAAGTCTCTGTAACAAAATTGCCCTTAAAAGTGATTTTAGTCGTTGATTTACACTTGAATATTGTGGTTCCTGTCTGTGTGTGAGCCTTGTCATTTTGGTCTTCTTTTGGTGTTTGTATTGACTCGCTCTACAGGATTCTGTTTCGCTCTGAGGGAGACTGTTCTGTCTGGTGTTGTGTCGGTGTCTTGTGGGATTTCAGTAGATTTCGGGATCTCCCGGGGGCTAGTTGTGTGGATCGGGTGTGGGTGTTTGTCGGCTGTTGGGGTTTATTGGCCTTTGAGACGTGTCCCACTTAGGCCTGTAACAATAATGAATAAATCGATTAATCGTACGATAACTTTTAACGAGCTCCATAACTTTTCCAGCCACGATAAATTCTATTTGCATGTTTGTTTGTTTTCCTCGCTCTCTCTCGCTCTCAAAGAGACTAAATGTTAGAAGCTTCTGTCGCTCTGACTCGTCTCGTTTAACAGTCGTAATGACGCTTGAACCAACGTGCGCCGTGTTTATCGACACAGTGGATGCTCGCGTAGTCTGAGTGCAGAAAGCTCCGCTGTCTGTGTGCTGAACATGAAGCTGCAACACAAGTGCCGCTGTCAGAACTAAAACAGTTCATCGCCGAGCGCCAAAACAAGTCACGATGACGAATCAACACTGGTGAGCGGGACACGTCTCAACAGCCACGTGCGTCAAACGCAGCGAGCGAAATTCAAACGACGAGAAGAAATGTCTCAAACTCGAACAGCCGATATAAACCCAAACCCGAGTGACTGAACTAGCCCCGCCCCCAGGAAAGACCGAAATCCACTGAAATCCCACAAGACTCAGACACGACACCAGACAGGACAGAGACTCCCTCATAGTGAAGTAACATTCTGTGTCGAGGGTTAAAATGAACATTTAAATGACCAAAATGCCGAGGCCACAGCAGCAGCCACAGAGAGAGTGGCCACTAATGTAAGTCAACGACTAAAATCACTTTTAAGGGCAATTTTGTTACAGAGACTTAATAATCCATTTTATTTATTGCTTTGGTTGTAGTTGGTTCAAGTGGTTTATTCAAGTGCATTTTTGGGAACAAGTCCTCGCTGTGAGTCAGACACATTAGACTAGTCCTGTGTTAAGTCTGTTTTATTTAGGCCTGTTGTTTTTGTTTGTCTTACACTTCCTGTGTTAAATGTTCTTTAGAAAGTAAAGTTTATTGATCATTGAGAGGTTGTATTTGCATTTTTATTCCATGGTCATTATATTAGTTGAAACTGGTCTCAAAATGTCAATATTATCGTTTATCGCAATAAATTCTCGGTCAATTAATCGTCCAGCAAAGTCTGTTATCGTTACAGGTCTAGTCCCGCTCACCAGTGTTGCTTTGGCATCGTGACTTGTTTTGTCACATGGAGATGAACCGTTTTGTTTACGACGGCGGCGCTCGTGTCACAACTTCATGTTCATCGCACAGACAGCGGCGCTTTCTGCACTCGAGCTGCGCGCACATCCGCTGTGCTCATAAACAAATCCGTTTAGTCTATGCTGGCACATTCATTCAAGCGTCATTAAGTTAATTAAACGAGGAGTCAGAAAGCGATAGAAGCTTTTTGATATTCTTTGGTAGAGAGAAAGAGAGAGAGCATGGAAAACAAACCAGCAAGCAAATAGAAATGATCACGGCCGGAGAAGTTATCGTACGATTAATTGATTTATTGATTATCGTTACAGGCCGAACTGAGCCCGATTTAGTCCTGGTTTAGTCCCTGGTAGACTTGGTTTAGTCCTGGTTCAGTCCGTTAAACGTTTTTTTTTCCATTTTTCATTTAAACACAAAATCGAAAACTGAAAAAAAAAAAAATCGCTATCTGTTTTTTCATTTTGGTTTTGGAGACAAATAATGAAGAAAATAGTTGTTTCTTCGTTTTCTTATTTTTGGGTTTATTTTGAAAAACGAATGAAGGAATGACTCACAGATTAAGGTGCCCCCTCAGACCGGAAGAAAATACAAAGTGCATAATGAAAATAATGATACGAGGCATAAAATTTAATGACCACATCTCGGGACTAACTCAGGACAAGTGAGCAGAGGAAGAGGAGAAGAGAAAAAGAAGAGGAAGATAGAAGGAGACTGGATCAAACTGGTGAAATGTTTGTTTTAAAAGTAGGTCAAAGAGCGACAGAGGAGTTTGGAAACATGAGACACGTTTGGTTCGGAGGTTTTATTCTCACGGAGGGCAGGAGGGACACTGTGATACTGGGAATAAAACGAAAAGAATAAGAGACTCTTTGATCACCCGACAATGGGGAAAGTTCACTGTTGCAACATAAAGTACAACATAAAAAACAACATAAAACCCATTTCTACATTGATAGTTTGCGTTCGTATCTGATTTTCCTCATGTATTTGAGTAAAAAAAAAGCACACTGACACATTACCGTAACAAGGGGCGGGTCCGTCACCTGCTCGTTTCTATGGATACGCCATTACTCTGCCCGGAATGTTCCACAGTGTGACTTTAAACAGCTCAACTTTACATGGTTCTACAGCTCAAAAACACCTACAAAAACAGACATTCTGACTGTGTGACTGCGGGGTCGCCTCTCCACCGATCTGACCCGTAACTCCGTCCAGCTTGGTCTCTGTGACGACAGAAAGGTTTAAAGCCGTACTGCGTAACATTCCAGACAACGCAATAACATCTAAATGGAGAAAAGCGCCAGCAAAGTGACACAGTGCACCTTTAAAACTCTATAACGTGGGGCTGTTCGGACATAGGACACAATATATCGCAATAAGAGAAGAGAATAAAGTAAAAAGTTTAGTTTTTAGAATATTTCTCCGTTCGTACAAATGCCAAATGTCCAAAATGCCTCTAAACTTTTACAACATTTGTGGACTAACTGGATTTACAACTCACTGTTCTGATCCTCTTTTGAACAACGTTCATTCATGTGTACTGACATTTTACTCTACAAGTCTAAACAACAATATTAAATAGTAAAAAACATAAACTTTTAACCAAGAACTTAAAAAAAACAATGCATTTAAGCAAAACTGATTTAAAACTGTCACTAAATGCAACGTAATCGTGACTGTTTCATGCAAATTCGTCATCTCTTTTGTTTTAATTTGCATGTATTGGTCTCTGGCGGTGTATAATATCTCAAAGCATGATTTTCTAACTTTTATTTGACTTCTGCAAGAATCTTTTAACATTTACAAAGCTAAAAATCATTAATACAGTCTGACCAACACGTGATATTGACTGAAACTTGTTTATGAGCAAATGCATTGATCTGTGACAAATTTATACGCATATTTCTGCAGTAATTAGTCAAGAATGCGGAAATTTGAGCTGTCTTTGCTTCAAAAAACAGCTGGAAAATGCCTTGAGACACTTGCTAAAGAGTGATGCAACTCGCCGCTCGAGTTACTTTACAAGAAATCGGCTTTGAATCCAAACAAAACGCACCAAAACGGATATTAGAGTAAAAAATACAATGTTTTTAAAGGGTAGCGATAGAAAAAGGTGAACATAGGACTTGCCTTTTGCAGATTTCCAGCGGAGAAAGCGTCAAATGTGCTCCGTGCAGCGGGGTAGTAAAGACACGTGGCAGCCCGCGGACCAATCACGGCGCGGGGTAGTGGCCTACGTCACAGGGACACAGGAAGTACAACCTCGAGCCGCTTCAAAACAAACAAAAAAATAGTCCCAAAATAGAAGATTAAAGATAGAATCACGCTTTAAATCATTATAATTGTACATGTATTTATTTTTTTTTACATTTTAAAACAAGATTACAGTGACCAGACAACGATTTTACGAGTTTCGTCATATTTCGGTGTGGGTCAACCATAGACCGTATTTAAATAAATAAATAAATAAAAATATAATTAAAAATAATAAAATTTAATAAAAATAAACTAATAATATCATAAAAACAAATTTAAAAATAACGACTAAAAAATTTCAACTAATAATAATGATAAAATAAAAAAGTAAAACTGTAAGTAAAAATAAAAATCTATTAAAAAAAATATGGCTTTGTTTTTTTGTCGTACAGATTTTGTGTGTCCGTTCGATCAATAGAAACAGATTTCTTTTTATTACGCGGAAATCGCCTCTTCTGCTTTTTTTTAACGATGTTTTTTTTTTTTTTTTAATCCGCTTTATAATCATCCATCTTAATAATATTTTATTTTTATTTGTTTCTTTTCATTTGTATGCTGTTAAATCGGTAAAGTATTTGTTGTTTTGTTTTTTGTTTTTTTGCTACGGACCGGCGTTACGTCCCATGATGCATTGCGCCTACACGGTTAAAAACAAGAAAACGAACAGTAGCTTTTGAATATTTAGTTTTAGTTATTTTTTTAAGTGTTTGTTAACAGCGCTGAGCTTCACAGATAAAAGTGCGTATCATTCGCTGCATTAATCCGTGCATTTTGTAATTTTATGTCGGTAAATTATTTATCTTTTTTTGCTAAGGAGTGAAGCTACGTCCCATGATGCATTGCGCCAGTACGGTAAAAAGACAAGAAAACGATCAGTAATTATTGAATATTTAGTTTGAGTTCGTTTTTAAGTGTTTTGTTTTCAGCATTAAGAATTACAAATAAAAAAGTGCGTATCCTTCGCTGTATTAATCAGTGTGTTTTGTCGTTTTATATTCGTTGGTGAACAGAACCATGAGGGAGAACAGTATCGCCGCTAAAGCCCTGCCTCACTTGTTCACGTACAGGACAGTACACTCTTGTTTCTCTTCAGATCGTATAAATCTTTCGCCTTTTACTAAAGATTTCCGTGGAGAGGAACAATAAGAGTTTTATCCAATTTTTTGACGCCCTGCGAAAGTGGGGCTTTCTAATGCTGTGGAAAATGAAACTAATATATCTGCACGTGCAGGAGCGTGTACGTCAGGAGCGTCAAACTCACTAGGTCCAGGGGCGACAAAGCATTCGCCCACTGATCGGAAGGTTGGCGGTTCGAATCCAGGTGTGATTCCAGCTCCCACAAATGAATGCTGTCGTTGTGTCCTTGGGCAAGACACTTAACCACCTCGCCCACAGTGTCTGCGTACACTGGTGTGTGAATGGGTGAGTGGTTCCTTGTTGTAAAGCGCTTTGAGCCTTGAAGGTGGAAAAGCGCTATAGAAAAATGTGACCATTTACGATTTATCCAACCGACTTTGATCCCAAAGTGTCCGGATCAGAAAACTCATGTCATATAAACCCCAAAAATAACAATAAGTTCAAATATTTGTGCAGAGAAACACAAATCTATTAACAGAAATATTTTTTAATTGATGAACTCTTTCTTTTACAAAATATAATATTATGAACAACCTGAAACTTTAAGAAAAACACAATTTCAACACAAAGTTTTAACATGAACTTGAATAAATAGGAATAAGTCAATTTTTGTTGTAAAATCCTGCACTCGGCTCCACTTTTCTCATGTTGGACATTTTTCTGATGAGGGTGTCACGGTCAACAGTCAAAACGATCGTCCTTTAAGAGCGTTTGGAAAGAGACAAGTCTTCATTTGTGAAAATTGGAAAATATTCATTTAAATATAAGCTCCTTCTGATTGGGACAATCTTCCCTCATCGATTCGCGCTTTAACTTCTGTCCCTTTATTTAAAAATGCTCTGGTTCAACATTTACATCACCCATGTCATTGTTTTTGATTATTTTGTTGAATTTTGTTGTTTATCTTGTTGTATCCTGTGATTATCTTTGAACTCTGTTTATTATTATTATTGTTATTTTTATTATTATTTATTATATTATTATTATTATTATATTATTTATTTATTTTTTTTCTTTCAAATTTGTTTTATTATGTGTGAAACAGTCAAGCGTGAGTGAGTGTGACTGTGTGTGTGTGTTTGTGTGTGTGTGTGTGTTTGTGGTTGTGTTGATTTTGTTGTTTTGATGCTTATTTGAATTTATGTCTCCTACTATTTGCCCGACTGTATCTGTCTTTTGTTGTTGTATTTATGAGGACCCCCTTGAAAACGAGATGGTGACACATCTCAAGGGGCTTATCCTCCAAACAAATAAATTTAAATTCAAACTAAATTGTGCTGCTCTGGTGGGAGGGGCCACGTACAGAGACGCTGGAGACGCTGCTGTGATAAACACCACAGAAAATTAACAAGATTTTAATAGAAAATGTAATTAAAATATTTTAGTAGAAAATCAGCCGAGGGCCAGATTAAAGGTGTTGGAGGGCCGGATCTGGCCCCCGGGCCGCATGTTTGACACCTGTGGTCTACGTATTTAATTAGAGGTATGATTAGTGCTGTTGTGCGGACGACATCACTTCGTTTTGGGGTTTAATATTATTTAATGCACACGGGGGCAGATGAAATTATTGTTATTCCGCTCCACATTCTGTAAATATTTATTTGTGGTCACACCGGCCTGAACTCGTCAAATCCGTGTCATTCCTTCATTCGTTTTTCAATATAAAACCAAAAAGAAGAAAACAAACAAACAAACAAAAAAGCAACAGTTTTCTTCATTATTTGTCTCAAAAACCAAAATGAAAAAAAACGGATAATGATTTTTTTTTTTTCAGTTTTCGATTTTGTTTAAAATGAAAAATGGAAAAAAAGGATAATGGCCGTTTCCTGTTTACGTGACTTCAGTGACTGTGATGACGGACTTTTGCACCGCATATGGACTGAACCAGGACTGACCCAGGTCCAGGACCAGACCGGGACCAAACCGAAACTGAGACCAGGACTGAGACCAGGACCAGAGGAGGACTGAGACCAGAGCGGGTTTGGTCCCGGTCTGGTCCCAGTCTCAGTCTTGGTCTCGGTCTCGTCTTGGTCTGGTCCTGGTCTCGGTCTCGGTCTGGTCTCAGTGTGGTTCCGGTCTGGTCTCAGTCTTGGTCTGGTCCTGCTCTGGTCCTGGTCTCAATCCTGGTCTCAGTCCTGGTCTGGTCCCAGACCTGGATCAGTCCTGGTTCAGTCCATATGCGGTGCAAAAGTCACTAAATGGGAAACGGCCGTTATCCTTTTTTTCCATTTTTCATTTAAACGCAAAATTGAAAACTGAAAAAACGACTCATTATCTGTTTTCTCATTTTGGTTTTGGAGACAAATAATGAAGAAAACTCTTGTTTTTTCGTTTTCTTATTTTTGGTTTTATATTGAAAAACGAATAAACAAATGATACATGGACTTCATCAGGTCTCAGAAGCTCCGCGGGGCCTGGACAGTATTTGGATGGAGACACTGGGAATTCCAGGTGCCACAAGGGGGCGCCAGTGGTAAAAAAAACTGTCATTGTGTCCTTGGGCAAGACACTTCCCCTTAGATTGTATAAAAGCAGTGGACTAAGCGAGTGTGACGTCACCCACAGTGTTCAGCGCCGCTCAAATGAGGCTCGCGATGTTTACAGTTACAAGCAAATCTGCTCGGCGAGGAGCCGGGGTTTATGTTTTGTTTTGTTTTTTTAAATGAACAAAAGAGCGAAAAAAAATTAAATAATCTGGATCATGTACATCGGGTTAATACGAACATTTTAAGACCAAAATGACGAGGCTCACAGCCGCAGGTACAGAGAGAAGAGCCACAAGATCCTAATGTGAGTCACTGGAGCCAGAGTCAGAAGGAGCCGGAAGAGCCTCCTGGAGAACTTCCTGTTTTCCACACGGCGGCGACAGCGTTAAACTCCGTCCACTCATGTGTACAGCCTATACACGTCACCCACACTGTCTAGTGAGAGAGTGGAGTGTGTGATGGTGGTGGTCAGAGGGGCTGATGGCGCAGATGATTGGCAGCCTCACTTCCGTCAGTCTGTCCCAGGGCAGCTGTGGCTACAGTGTCAGTTTACACCACTGAGTGTGGAGTGAATGAATAATGAACAGTCTTGAAAGTCACTATATAAATGCAATTATCAATTAATAATGAATTAAACTTGCCGCTCCTTGTGCTTCTGATTAGACACAAAAACACATTCTGTTACTGTTTGTTTGTACAAGTGTAACGACAATAAAGTTGAATCTAATCTAATTTTGGTGGATTTCTCTTTCTAGAATGTGATGATGTCATACTTCCAGATACTCCCTTCAAGGTGGAGACGTACATCAGACTGAGGTCCTTTTAGGTGGAGACGTACATCAGACTGAGGTCCTTTTAGGTGGAGACGTACATCAGACTGAGGTCCTTTTAGGTGGAGACGTACATCAGACTGAGGTCCTGTGTTGCTTTCTCATCTGTGTTGGTTTTGTTTCTTCACTACACGTTTTGCCGCCAATTATGACGTATATAAACGAGCAAAAGATATTTATGAACAGGAGTGCCATAAATAAATAAATAAATAAATAAATCTAAAGTCGTGTATCAGACGTAATGTGAACATGTAAGTGTGATAGGCAGAGGTGTGCGGCGTCGGTGACATGTACGTGTGGTTTGGATGGTCGGGGAACATTCGGCGTCAGCGTTTCAGTTTTTTGATGTTCTAAGCTGTTCTTGTACTTCGGAATTACACCACAAAAATTTGCAAATTGCAGCACAAATTTATGTCCAACCGCACCACGACATCTGGGACGGGAGGGCATCTGACACAAAAGGACACAGTGGTGATTATTGGTGAAAAACCCGACATGTTTGTAGAAAAAATGATGAAATCCACTGGTATTTTGAGTAAAG